TCCTTAAGGTCATGCAGGATTTAGATCATCAACAGTGTGTCTAGAGCAAGCAGGGGAAGTACCGTTCCCACGAAGTGCGCCAACGCCCCCGCAGGATGCTTTGACCTTCATTCACGAGGCGGTGGGCATGGTTTGGATATGGGTTTAGGGTTTAGGGTTTAGGGTTTATAAAGGGTTTCGGGTTTCGGGTTTAGGGTTTACGGTTTGGTGGGCATGGTTTGGATATGGGCCTGGGGCATCTCGCTTAGATGGCTTGGGATGATGGGTGGCACAATTTTGTATGTTATGGTGTACTGTAGCTGATTTGAGTTATTGTGGTATGTTGCGCTTGTTGTAGAGTGTTACAATATACCTTGTATAGTCCTGCACATTATGGTATGTCATCGTATATTGTAACAGATTCTTATAGTACTAGCGTTTTACAGTATTGTCAAGGGGGTGTCGGGTCAATCCAAGCCCAAGTGGAGTTACTGTACAGCTCAGGGAAATCAGAGCTTACGGAAGACATGCTCAGAGCTCATGCATGTGTTCCTGGAAAACGTCTCATTAAGGCTGCCACAGTCACAACTCAACAGCTTCTCGCCCAGGTTTGCTGAGCCCGGCAGAGCCGCTGTAGGTTAACAGGGTCAGTTTCGTTGTAGACCTAGCTTGTCCCGTCTGCCCAAAATCGCCGAGGCTACGACGGTCGGTTACTGTTGACTCCTTGGGTCTTGGCGAAATCGCAGAAGCTTCGCCTCCGTTCACGACAAAGGACGCCCTGCAAACTGCTGGTGACAACCGCACACCGATTGTGAAAACGGCGATGAAGATGATGAAGATGATGAAGAAGATGATGATGATGATGGTGGTGATGATGATGATGACGGTGATGGTGATAGTGATAGTGATGATGACGATGATGATCACGATGGTGGTGATGCTGGTTATGTTGACGATGATGTTGTTGATGATGATGGCGATGATGGCGATAATGGGGATGAAGATGATGGTAGTGATGATGATGATGATGATGATGGTGGTGGTGGTGATGATGATGATGACGATGATGATGATGATGATGTTGATAAAGCTGACGCTGACGCTGACGCTGACGCTGTCGCTGACGATGACGCTGACGCTGACGATGACGCTGACGCTGATGCTGATGCTGATGATGATGAGGAGGAGGAATATTTTTTATGATGACGGAGATTGACTGGACAGCGACAACGATGCTGAAACACAGACAAGACCGCATCAGTAGCATGAACAGTGAAGATACAGTGCACCTGAAAAGAACACCGCGACAACGACGACACACGACGCACGCGACCCCAGCGACCACAACGACGACCCACTATAACCAACACCACGACTACGACAACCGACACCACGACCACGACGCAACAACGACAACAACGACGACAACCACCAAGATGACGTCGGCGACTAATTGAAGCAAGCTGAGGCAATAAGCATCACAAAAACAAAACTGCAGGAAGCACAGGGCGCACAAGAAACACTCGCCATGTTTAGCCGCTGTAGGGCCACATCCGGCCAAACTTGCGAACTGCTACCTCTCTGAGGCGGTTGCCACCTCTGCTTGAAGCCCGCGGATTTCCGCTGCCCCTCCTGAAGGGGTACCGGGCGTACAGCAGAGCAAATTAGTTTATGGTTTAGGCTGTAGGGAGCAAATCAGACTTGAAATCCAGAGTCAGGCTCCTTAACCAGGTCCACCAGGGTCCGGACAGGCAGCAGCCCGGCGCTGGTGGCCTGAAGGGAGGGAGGCTGCAGGGTCGAACTTCATCAAGAACTTCCAGTGTTGGCATAGACATAGACAACACAGACGCATATATACTACAGACAGACAGACAGACAGACAGACAGACAGACAGACAGACAGACAGACAGACAGACACAGACAAACAGACAGACAGACAGACAGACAGACAGACAGACAGACAGACAGACACAGACAGACAGAGACAGACAGACAGACAGAGACAGACAGAGACAGACAGACAGAGACAGACAGACAGAGACAGACAGACAGAGACAGACACAGACAGACAGACACAGACAGACAGACACA